GGAAGCTGTGTTAGTGAGTCAGTTCAAACTGATGTACCTAACTGAAGAATATTCAAGTCGTGTTTTTCAGAACTTAGATTTTTGCAATTCAATAATGTACACCTTGCAAGTAAAAGTTTGTTTATCGTATCTGTTCCTCGAATCTCCACTAAGCCTTGAGTAGTATGCACTTCAGGACATAGTTATACTCATCGGACATTTGTTCTAAATAAAAATATTCTCTTTCCTCAGCCTGATAACCACCCCTGTTTATAAATATACGTATTATCAAAAATGTAATATTCAAGTTCATTTTCACTTGCTCCGCCTATGACTGCGGCTTCTAGAATTTCCTTCATTATAACAATTAAGCGTAAATGATCAACAGCAACCAAATTCCAATTGAAAAGGTAAGAAATACAAATACACCAACATAAAATGATTAATAATAAATTGTGTAAGGTTAGGTTACACAATAACACATGTTTAATACTGAAAGCAGTGAACTAGGCATCCCAATAACTATCATTTCGTTACAGAAATAACGCAAAGGCAGTATTAAAATAAGGAATAACATTAGTACTGCATGACAGTATTTAGCATGTCCAATAACTCTCTATTATTCACCGCAGTTGTGGACGAAACGAAAGAAAGAAATTCGATCCAGGTAGAATTTGCCAGACTTAACCAGCCATTCAATTTCACTTGAGCTTCAAGCAATCCGGCCACCGAAAATGTGCTCAATTAGGACTTGAATAAATTAGCGGATTAAAATACAGATCGGTCCCTCCCGGATTCATTTTAAAAGCTCCAGACCAAACAAGGAAAGTGCAATTTTGAATAACTCCGGTCTTTATCTGAAATATCTCCAGATAATACAGCGTTCGGCCCCCAGATAAAAGGAGACGTTCAAAAATGCCCCGTCTAAAGCGCGATGCTTTTTTGGCCTTTTGAACCGAGCCTGGAACGGAGGCCGGCCTTTATCCAGGGAATAAAAGGCTCGAGACTTAAGGCCTTAATAGGTTCTACAAGATTGTAGTTGAAAAATGAATGCGGAGAGTATGGCATGGAGAGCCAGTCTACGGTAGGAAACTGGCAAATTAAATGGATGTTTGCGGCGATGTTTCCATTAAACTGAAACCAAACAAGGGAATTTGCAGAGTTTTTTCCAGGAGTTGGACTGGAAACAATTGATCTTCGCACTTTCGCATAATTTTTCAGTCATCGTCGGTGAAACTCGAGAAGTTTCGCGTTCTGAAAGGGCAGCTTTGCTTTATTATCGGGCCATTTGGGCCAAAACCATGTCATCCATATTCAATTACGTTGTGTAACCATCAACAATTTATTCATGGCAGTGGAATTTCAATGGACATGTTAAACTCCCGCTATTTGAGCCTTAGAATTTACACTCTTCCATTCTTATTTCCGTCTTCGCCTTCTGGATCGGCCATTTGAGGTGTGAATTATGGCCGGTAATGCATTCAGGCTGTCGCGTCCAGAAAATTAACTGGCAAAACACCATCGAATGTATTAGTTTATTGGCTGGTTTCGGAAAATGAGCGCATTTTTGGGCGTTTTAAGACTTTGGGACAGGTTTTGTAAATCGGTGATGCAAATTTGGAAATGACCTGGATTGATTTAGGAGCTTCAGTTGTTAAACATTTAAAACTTAATTCATTTTTCTTTCGTTTCCATTATTTACATTTTTGCGATAGTTTTATCGCTCACGGTTTGTTGATTTTGCGATCGAAAATCCGGGTCACGATTTAATATCGCTTTGAGTACGGGCCGAAAACGCAAATAAAATTGTCCCTTTCGCTGTACAAGCGGAAGAACCAAATCGAAATCGGTCCTTAAAATCGTCCCTTGCGGTCCCAAACCTTCTCGCCCAATTCACTATTATTAAAGTGCTTCGGTGCTAAATAATGCATTTTTAATTGTTGTTTCTTTGTTTCAGGTAAGTGGATTTTGATGTTACACAGAACTATTTTTGAGAAGTGAGCGGTCTCATTGCGGACTTTAAGAGTTGGTGTTTCTACCGGACGTTTCGCTTGTATGAGCCGCAGGCATGATCAAAGGTAAAAAAGGTGAAAAAAAGTCGTTGTTTTTATCGAGCAGAGTCTGGAATTTATTAGAGGTAAACAACACTGTTAAATATCGCGTTCGGCGACTCCGATTTTATTATCAAGGCGGGGAAACTTTTCGTTCAAGTGAAAAATGACCAGTGCTTTTGCTATTTGGCTCGTTATGGATGGTTTATCTAGGTGGTGCAAAATATCCATGATATTTTTCCGGATTTTTATGGATGCTGGATTAAAACTGCAACAACAATGCGGGGATACAATTTGCGCAAAACAATCTCAGTTGTATTCTTTCACGGTGTGAATGAGATGTTCAAATCTAAGCAGGCATCAAATCAATTTTTTGTTCGAATGAATCTAAAAGTGCCGTTTTTCTATCAGAAGCCATGATAGAAAAGAAGCACTGTTCTTTACTGTTCATTTGTCTTACTTTTACGCACGGACTATTACGCACATGTGCGCAAAAGTAAATCTGACAAATTGGAAGTGCCACTGTCATAAAATATTTTCAAGTATTTTTATTAAAAAGTAAACGACAGGCTTTTCTAATGCATTACGTTGGTTTATAGAGAACTATTGATTATAATTTAAAGTTTACTTACAATTTGTAAATTATGACTTTGTTAAGAGTTCAGTCCCAAAGTCGTTCAAATGGTCTATTTTTTGCACTCGCCGATGTTGCCACAAGCAAAACACGATTTTTGTAAATAGCGTATGTTTCTTGCAACATATGCAACTGCCAGAAACATCATACCGTGAAAGCGGCACTTGAATTTTTAACACTCATTGTTTCACTTCTATATACTTACAAAAGTATGCTTTTGAAAAATTACCAACGTCAAAACATGACAATTTCAAAAATGGCATTGACATCTAATTTTAAATATGAAGTGGCGGCACAGATCACAAAGGTAGGTACTCTGTGATGTGTGGTTGACGGCTTTTATTTTGGGCTATTTTTATTTATTATAACTTATTACTCGTGTTATGTCCTTTATTCGAATAAAAAATATTGTTCGATACGAGGGCGAAAATCCGTTTTTCGAACGACGAGTTCGTCAAATTCCGTCAAATGTCACCTGTTACACTGGCGGCAGGAATTTCTCGCCCTTCGGAAGCTTGTGTACTTTAGGCCCTTATCGGCGGTTCGCAACCCCCTAAGAGCCAAATAAAACCCTCGAATAAGCGCTTTTAATGCACACAATGAGCACAATCCCGGCTATTTCGTCGGAGGTCAGAATGGATAAACAGATAAATTGATGGATTGAGTGCGGGAAAAAATATACAGAATGATTTGCAATCAAGTGCTGATTTTTCCTTGTGCATAATTCCACCTTAGTGGATCAGATGAGGCAATACCACCTATATACAAGGTCTAAATTAGAAAAATAATCGTCGTTCTGTGCAAGGGTGGCGCAAGATTATTGCAAAATTTCATGTTTTCCGTGCCCTTTTTGCTCATATCTCGGAGGCAAAATGAGCAAGAATGCTCATTTGTACATCATTCTAGCCAGAAATAAATGGCCTTTTTAGAAAGTGGACCATGGATGCGGAAATGTTGGCAGTTTTCTCAAAAAATACTTGAATTCAAGAAGTTTTAGATTTGTGTGATTTTTTTGAGTTGCNAAATCCACTTGAACATGACGCTGCTTTTTTCGAAGTTTCTCAAGAACCATTCGAGCCACAGAATTCGTTTTGGCATCGTTGGATAGAGAATTGAATGGGGGGGGGGGGGAATGACCCCCATGCCCCCCCTGGATCCGCCCTTGACTGGGGCTTTATATCTAGGTGGTCTTGGATGAGGGCGGCAAAGTTGAATGGTTTAGAGAGAAAGTAGCCCTTATTCGGTACGTTTCCTTTGAAAATAAGTCGGGATTTTGCAAAAGTAAGCCGGTTTGTAAGAGTGATTTTGCCCACGGGACGGTTAACAAAGCTTTGTCGCCACTTCTGGAAATTGAACGGGACAGACTCGGCGATAACGGATCGGTTTTGGCAAATGCAGGTGTTTTTTTTGCACTTTCGTGTTTTGTCTCAGTGGCGAATCGATTATGCAGGCAAGTGGGTGAATTATTTATGTGGCAATCCAAGAGACCGGCTGCGAAAGCCTTTGAAGACTTTTATGCACAATTGCATTATGTAAAGCTGTTGGGGGCTTTTTGCGATTTTGATATCTAGCCGTTTGTTGCCAGCAGGAAGGTCTTGTTTGTGGAATTAATAAAGTTCCGAGTGATTTATGATTCCTGTTTTCCTGGATCATGCGATTGAATGAAATCGCGGTTTATTTTGCCGGCATAAATCCCACGTCAAATCTGGTCGGTAGTATTCCGATTTATGCAAAACCAGGCGCATACATTTGGAAAATGGAAAATTTGAAATGAGTGAAGTGCGTTTATTGGTTGATAAATCGATTTTTGCCGCTCAGAATTGAGGAGCCAAGAGGCGAATCAGTGAGCCTAATCTGAAGGCAGAATATTTACAAAATCGCCTGCAGATTCTGGAGGGAAATTCTCCTTTTCCGGCCAAACGGGAATGTACAAGTTGCGTTTCTCGGCAGTTTGTTCAAGCCGATGAATGTTTAATTGTGTCTAGGGAGGCTGAGTTATCGCTCTTTTTAAGAAGCGCAACCCTTAAAGTTGAGTGCCCATTACTTCAAATATAGCTTCACTTTCTTGTTCTTGAGAAATCCAGGAGTTTTCTAGGGTGATTTCTGGTCAGAAAGTCTAGAAGACTATGCAAAGGCTTTGTAAAATGGGCAAAGTTGGGCAGAATTTAAGGTTCTATTTTTAAAATGGATTTTTCGAATGTGTAGGTTTTGCTTTGGTTGTTGTGCAAATCGAAAACAAAAACATTTTTCTTGCGTGTTTCAAAAAGGTTCATTTGCAACTCGTTTGAGGAAAAGTTCCTTTGGCACTTTTCCCTATTTCAGCGACATCTGCAGCTTGGATCGATGTGTAGCGTGGCTTTCGTTAGATTTTCCTGCTAAATTTAGAAACTTAGATTCACATATTGACCGGATTTTCCCTCGATGCATTGGCTCTTTGTGTGGAGAGGGCGCTGACGAAGTTTCCTCGTGGAAAGCGCACTGTTTTCGCCAGTGAACTGAGTTTTCCCTTCGAAAGGAAAGTTCAACTTTCTGTGCTATTCTACGGTTTAATGGCTTTTCGTTAAGATGGTTAGCAAAGTAGCCCGGGGAAATTGGGCAAACGTAATTCGAGTTGCAATGGCTGGCTATAAAAATTTACAAGTGGAAAACAGCACGTTTGCACTTCAGCACAGCTCATCAACCGGTCTACAATGTGTTGAATGGATTTTTTAATCGACCGGAATATATCCGATTGCGTTGCTTTAAGTCACGCCACTTGAACCATTGCCCAATTGGTTGAAACGGTTCAGTTTTTTAGATTTTCCAGTCAAAACTGTGGTTTTGTTTGAAGATTTACAGGCAAAACTTCATACTAGAATCAAGCGCTTTTCGCGAAAAATGCCTGGCTAGAAACCCGCTGGAGTTGATTGAAGGATCCACATGCGACACTAGTTAAGGTTGCTCTTGATGGCTCGGAACAATGCTGGATATTTATAAAGTAATGATGAATGCCGTTGGCCTGAGCGGTTGGATGTTTCGAGTCCAGTTCTAATTTTATAATTGCGCTGGATCGCCGATATCGCTGTGAAATCGCGAGTGTCGCAAAGTGTCCAGTTTCGCGATTTTTACCAGTGCAAACTGGTCAACGCCGAACTATATTGGATTGGGCTCTGAGCTGAGCAGGACTCAGAATGGTCGGCTTGGTTCTGAAGCGCTCACTGATCACATACAGTTTTCCCGATTGTTCATATATTTATTTACAATCCTGCAATGTAATATAATGTTTGAGGGTTGAAAGACTGCATAAAGCTTCCAAGCTGGAATCAGCAGGTTTTTTGTATCTAAGTATTAATCAAGTGGTGGTTTAAAGTCAGGTTATTTCCGTATGGTGAATTCGGTGCAGTTAGAGAGGCGACAGACGAAAAAATCCAGTGTCGTGCGTAGCTATTTGGTGACATTTTCTGATGTATTCATGGCCTATCTGCATTCGACGGCGAGCCAGAAGGGTCTGAAATCGTGCGCCACTGCCCT